CAGGGTCACCTGTGCTAGCTTTTAATTTACTGCCCCAACACTTAAGTGTTGCTGGAAAGCCCACGTTAATGTGGGAGCACTTGGTTTACAAAGCACCCTGGCATATCCTATGTCGTTGCATCTGCTGGTTGGGATGAGACAGCTGTCTGAGGTCATCAGTTGTCTGTTTGCTCCTGAAAATCACTCCTCCTTCACATCTGTTGGACCAAGCATTCTACGCAGGTGGTTTTCAGTGTGGTCCTCCCATGTTACAAATGCAAATTCTCAGACCCCCGCCCTCCAGGACCTAGTGGATCAGTTCTGGGGTGGGGTGGGGCTTCTTACATCCTTCAATGTGATTCCGATGCAGGCCAGGTCCAGATCCACCGCGCTAGAACCCCAAGTGCCGACCTTCATGCCCTCAGTCCTCATTCGTTTACTTATAGCCATTCCTCTGTAAAGAACTTTCCCTAATCAAGTAGCTTATCCTGAATTGCAAATTGGTAATTGTTTATTTTCCTTTAATTCTCTATTTTCAGTGTTGAGCCAGCGCCCAAGTTACTTCCAAGAGTGACCAATTATGTGTTTTCGTGGTTTTCGCTGATTAAATTATCGTTATACATTTGGTTTTTAATGTGTTCGATGTGTTTCCATCACTATTGTTTGCTGGCCCCCAGTACCCTCTGACATGGTCCCAGTGGTCTTTAATGGCTCCCTGGCTTTCTGAATCAGAAACCGTCTTAGGCTCATCTTGCACATTCTCCACACCCCACCCCCCCAGCCCCGCAGCCCAGGAATCAGCGATTCTTCGAGGAGTCCTGGCTTCTCTCAGGGGGTGTGGCACACAGGCCACCACCCAGGTGCTTGGGGGTCCCCTGTCCCTGGGCAGAGCTAGGAAATGTTTTTTAGAAGAGCAAAGAAAAGAATGAGCTCACATCTATATTTCTATTCCAAATTTAGTAATACAGGGTTTTCTGTACCTGGTTTTGAACTCTTTCCTTAGGGAAAAAAGTTAACATTAATATAATTAGTTATAAGCTCTAACTCACATTGCACAATTCCGAAAGACAAGTACCAACATTACCACTGAGATTACAGCTTAAAATGTAGGACTTCTCAGTGGCTCTATTTGTTATCAGACTAGTTGACTCAATGCCACTTGAAATAATGTTCTCTGTGACTCTCACAGCTGGATCTGCAGTTGAGTTGCACTCGCCAGACCTGGGCAGCCCCGAGCTTCTTGCCCCAGAACCTGCAACTCTGCCAAGGGCCTCCTCTGGTGGTCGAAGTGCGGCAGGAGCAGGGAGGGCCAGGAGTTCTGACACCCTGAATGCAGCCCGCAACCCCTGAAACACAGCAGTCCCCAGCTTGTGAACTACCGGCGAGGCGGGGTGGAGGAACCTCAAATACCATGCCGAGTGAGAGAACCCAAACGGAAGAGGGCACGCCACGCAGCTCCGCTTACAGACAGCGGAGAATGCGAACAATTCGTTATGGATGGGAAGATCAGTGGTTCCCTGTGGGCCGGTGGGGAGACCAGGAGGGCACTCGGGGTGGTGAATGCCTTCATTACGTTCTGCCAATTATATCTCAAAAAAAGGAGTTAAAAATGCTACCCACCCCCAACTACATCCCCCAAAAAGAAGATAATTTATACTCAGATAAATTGTCTCATTGTGTGACTGGTAAACATCCAAAGGTTGTCATCAGACTTTCTTTGTGAAACTGTGGGAAAGAAGACTCTCCTATAATGCTGCTGGGAACGAGAATGTCACAGCCCGAGGAAGCAAATTTGGCAACATCTGGCAAAATGACGTGACCCAGCAACTCTACAATCAGGACTCCACCACAAAGAAACTAGAAAGTGACTTCACGGTTACCCACTGTGGCATGTGTAATACTGGAAGCAACTCAGATGTCTACACTAGGGGATGACCGCCCTCAGCAATGTACACAGCAGAAGGGGTGACTCCATGCGACGAGGAACAACCCCGCTACAGTGCCACATCTATCTGCTTCTTGTTTTCTTTACTGCTCACCAGGAAGATAAAGCGGTCTCTGCAGGAGAGAGGATGCAGGGTAAGGAAGGAGGCGAGGTCTGGATGCAATGGACTTTGACATCGTGGATATGTTTTACATATTTATAAGCGTAACATTTCTAAAGACAATCCCTAAAAGTGAAAAACAGAATCTGAAATGAATGAACCTAACTGCCTTGGACTGGACTCTACAGAAGCCGACCCTGGGACAGGACCTTGGAGGTGACCTTGAGCAGCCTCTGAAATGGGGAGGGAAGAAATCCGCTCACATCCACAGCAGCTGCATTTAGTATTTGGTTACTTGAATGCTTTAGGACAGGGGTCCCCAATCCCTGGGCCAAAGACTGGCACCAGTCCGTGGCCTGTGAGGAACCGGGCCACACAGCAGGAGGTGAGTGGCAGGTGCGCGAAAGAAGCTTCATCTGTATCTGCAGCCGCTCCCCAGCGCTGGCGTCAGCGCCTCAGCTCCACCTCAGCTCCTCAGGCGTCAGATGCTCATAGGAGCACAGCACCTAGAGCCCTCACAGAGCCCGCACGAGTTCACAACAGGGTCTGCGCTCCTACGAGAGACGAAGGCCTGAGGACGGGAGGTGGAGCTGAGCACTGATGCCGGCGCTGGGGAGTGGCCGCGAATGCAGATGAACATTGGCAGGGAGGTTTGACTGCGCGGAGACCATAATAAGTCAATTGCCTGCAGACTCAGCAAAACCCTATCAGTAAGTGGCAAGTGACAATTAAGCTGCATCTGGTGGCAGGCTTTAAGCCGGATTCCGACACTTATTTCAGTGGCCCACCCATTATTTCATTTGCCAATCCCTTCCGTGCCTCTCACAAGCTAACCCTAGCCAAAATGAGTAAAAACAAACGTCACCGGAGAGCTGCTCCGAAAAGCGAGAAAGGCCCAGGGACGGGTGGGGACGGCAGAAGGGCCCTAAGGCTGCCGACAAAGAGGGAGCTGCATCTCACAGAAAACACCGAGAGTCCTGCTTAAGTCACGGGTTCATTGCCGACAGGCGCTTCACGTTCTCCGAGCCGGCTTTGTATGACGTGGCGACCGGCTACCCAATGAAGCCGTGAACCTTCAAAACTGCTTTGCCACAGGGAGACCGAGCACTCAGCCATTAAAAAACAAGCCTTTGGAGCTTCTCAAAAGAAAACAACCCGAACACAAAGAACAGAAGCAATAATTTGAAGGCCACCATTTCATCAAATGCGCCTGCACTGAGCATCGTTCTGAGAGGCTAACCGCTGAAGCTAAGCAGCCCTTTACTACTGCTGAAGATGATCCTGCCTGATACTAAGGACACTCGTGTGAACTTTTAAGAGGCTGCAGTTCAAAAGGTGTCACGTGTTCCTTTCAGCTAGCACCATAACTAGACGAATGAATGAAACAGCAGATACTGAAGCACGGTTAGAGGATTCATGAGTCACTGATGTTGACAAGGCAACGATGCTTGCTTTAGTGTGACTTTTCAGGAGGACGTGCATGAGGATGCTATGTGCACTTTTGCTGCCAGCCAACACCACAGCTGCAGAGCTATTCAAGGCTTTGAACGAAGACACAGCAGGAAGCCTGAATTGGTTATTTTGTCGGCATATGCGCGGACAGAGTGGCTGCCATCGTAACTGGATGGCTTTCTGGTTTCACTACTTGGGTCAAAGAAGTCGCTTCCGAATGTGAGCCTATGCACTGCGTCATCCAGAGAGAAATGCTGGCTACCCGAAAAATGTCACCTGAACTTAACAACGTTTTGCAGGATGTGATTAAAACGATCAACCACACCGAAGTACGCGCCCTTCACTCACGTCTGTCCGTGCGGCTCTGTGAGGAGATGGACGCAGAGCACACGCGTCCTCTCTCACACAGACGTGAGACGGCTTTCTACGGGCAGGTCACTGGCCAGAGTTTCTGAGTTACGAGAGCCACTCCAGAGATTTCTTTTAGGAAAAGTCACCACTGGTAGCAGCACATTTCAGTGACGGGTCGCAAAACTTGCTTGCCTGTGTGACATATCTGGCCTGCTTAAACAACTCAATCTGTCACTTCGGGGGAGGACGACGCAGTGTTCAAGTTGACACATAAAGTGGCAGCATTCAAAGCCAAACTAGAATTATGGGGGCGACGAGGGAACACTGGGATTTTTGACATGTTTCAAACATTGGCAGAGATTTGGAAAGAGACTGAGCCAGGCCTTCCTTCTCCCAGCTGGTGCATGGTCACCTATCTCAGCTTTCAAGAGACTGAGCGTGACTTCCCAGCCACAAAAGACCCCCGACCTGAGGAGGAACGGATCCGTGACGCATCTGGGAATAAGCCAGGTGAATCAACTTTGTCCGTGCTAGATGATCAACTGCTTGAGATCGCAAATGACAATGTCCTCCAAAGTACACTTGAGACAAGTTCAACTCTCCATACGTTCTGGATTAGAGTCAAAGCGGAATATCCTGAGATGGCCACAAAGCACTGAAAAGCCTGCTTCCATTTCCAACATCCTATCTTTGTGAAGCAGGGTTTTCTGCAGTGACTGCAACCAAAACGAGATTATGGAGTAGACTGGACATAAGCAACACACTTCGGGTGCCACTGTCTCCCATCGCCCCCCGAAGGGACCGTCTAGTTGCAGGAAAGCAAGTTCAGGGCTCCCACCGAAACGGTCCTACATTACGGTGAGTTGTAAAATTATTTCATTATATGTTGTAACGCGGGAATAGAAATGAAGTGCACATACATGTAATGCCCTTGAATCACCCTGAAACCATCCCCGCCTCTGGTCTGTGGAAAAGTTCTGGCACCAGGAAACCGGTCCCTGGCGCCTAAAGAGGTTGGGGACTGTTGCTCTAGGACGCGTGTTCGCACATTTAACTGTTTACTAAGAACAAGAAGGAAGTGTTTGTTCTCTTCATTTGCTGTCAAGTACTAAAATTCATTTTTACTTAAATACCTACTACAACAAAATGTACCAGACTAAAAAAAAAATCGCATTTTCTATTTCAGGTTGGCTAGTGTGCCCGAAGAACTTTGTAATTTGTTTTATTTAAGAATCGTGCTCAGCTTCATTATTTCACAAGGAAGCAAGAAATAAAGGTAAGGTTAACACTTTGGGCTTTGACTACGAGCAAGCTACTGGCCACTGAGCAGGCAGTCTCTATTCGAATGGCACTCCTTATTCACGGGAGTACAGGATTGAAAACACAATTATGCTACGAACACGTGCGTGGCATATTACATATAATTACAAGAGCTGGTCAACTCGGGCCTCATCAGTAGGAGCGAATGGCTGGGGGGACCGTGGCACAGTCAGCCTCGTTTAAAGTTTTGTCGATTACAGGCCTGTATTCCAGGGAGACCTTAAAAAGAAGAGCCGGTGGTAAGCTGGGGCACAGAAATGCACAGAAATGACAGTCCTCTCTTATGCTCTTTTGACAAATTAACTATCAAAGTAGATTTGCAGAAAAATATGCCAGAACTTAAACATACTGGAGTACTTTTCAACAACAAACTCAAAAATGATCTAAATGCATGATAAGGGACTAGATGTGTAAATTACAGTAAATCCATGTAATAGAATACAGCAATTAAACTGTATGAAATTTTTGATGCTTTACAAAAATGTTCAAAAGTAGGTAAAACCCTGTATATACTGTTATACTTAAAGTATCTTTATAAGATGCATTTACTTCTACTCTTTTCTACTTGTAAGTGAATATTTATACACATACACATAATAAAATGTACACAAAACTTGAGATAAATATTTCGAAATAACAATAATGTTTCTAATTAGTGAGCTTATAAATGTTGATTTCTTTTATTCTTTTTGTACTTTCTGTGCTTTCTACAACGAGCATATGTTTCTTTTATAATCATAAAAACCCAAACATTACTACAAATAGGCTTGTACTAAGGGACGGAAGTCTGACCTCTTCCTCCAGTCAAAAACAGCGTTCATGAAAAATTATGAAAATCGCTACCTGCAGAACTGAATGGCAGGCGCTCTGTTAAGTGATGACCACGGAGCACAACTTGATGTCTGTGTACCCAGATAAATGATCAAGACTATCCCCTAAGAGCTATGAAAAGCTTAAGGGTAAATAAACCCTTTGTACTTTAATTATTTCTGAACCTTAACACCTGGCAAAAATGCCTAATGGGTGACTATGCTTTGGAGAAATGAGACAGGGAGCCTCTCTTGTGATCTCAGCTGGCTCCTCCCAGGCCCTGGCCACCCCACCCCGCCTCTCCCAGAGCCCTGCATACTCTGGGCTTCCCTGAGGCTGCCTCTAGGTGGTCCAGCCAATGGGAAGGGAAGGAAGGGGTGTGGGTCCTCCTGTCCCAGCCTCAGGCCCTGAGCCCAGCTCTCCTCTCTGCCCCTGCCCCCAGGCCTTGGGAGCTTACTCCCTGCCCAGGGCCAACGCCAGGGAAGGCCTCCCAGCGTTTCAGTGGCATCTCGTGTCTGTCAGCAGTCTATGTACATGCCTGCTGCCTGCCCCAGTTTGTCACGTGCACATGTCAGTGCACGCGTGAGCGGGCCACGTTCCCCACCTACCTTCCCAGTCCTGCTATCGACGTAGGAAAGCGTGTGCTTCCTCCAGTGCTGCTCAAACGGCTTCTGCTGCTGACCCTGGATGGGCTTGGAATAATCGTACTCATCGATCCGCTCCTGAGGCCGAGAAAAGGTGTTTGTTTCAGGACATATCATCGACAATTATTCCAAATTTCCTATTACTCTCTCAGAGCAATGTCATCACCCTGACACATGGGACGGGTCTGATACGAACCTCCACATCTCACTCAGCAAGGAGGTCCCACTGTCCTGTCCCAGGCAAGGCTTGTTCAGAGAGCCAGGCCCTTCCTAGCCCATTTTCCAGCCCATGTCCATCCCCTTTGCAATTCCTGACGAAAAACCACTTGACTGCATCTCACCTAGAACAACGCACAGCAGGTGACATGATGCAAATTGGTACCCGACGCAGGGGCATGGAGACATGCGGCATGCCAGGCATTTGGCAGCTGTCCGCCTCTAGTGTTACTGATGAGCCCTTCATCCTATACCAGCCATCCCAGGGCCCCCACACCTTTACTGAGCCCATCTCTGCCGCAGACCGTGTCCCGATGGGGTCAGGCCCGCTCAGGTCAGGCCACACCACTGGGCAGGGGGTTGGCTGCAGCAGCAAGGGTCCAGAGCTTACTTTCTGCGCTCTTACGCACTCGAAAGTTCATCAAATACTTTCCATCTTCCTGTTCTGTACTCTGGGAGATTTCAAATTCTTTCACTCTCTTTTATATAAATGTTTTAATTTTAGCAATAATATTAAAATTTCCACAAACTGCTAAAGAGGAGCTGAACGCTATTAAGGATAACTTGCACGTGGTAATGGATGAGCCGCACGAGAGTCTTCAATAAAACCCCCCAAATCCAAACACTTGCTGCTTCTGCTCTGTGGGACGAGACCTCTTAACGGGACAAGCGTGGCCACGGCGCGTCCCCTTAGTTCTGGCCCGTACCTACGGGGCGTGCTCCCCCAGGGTGCGGGTCCCAGCCGTAGCTGCCTGAGTGACATGAGGATCTCCGCAGACTGAACCCAGCCCCAGGTGGTGGAGGATAAACTAATCCAACTTCACAAGGAACAAGACCCAGTTGCTCTTACTTAGGCAACGTCCCCACGCCCCCACGGCCAGCGGGCTGGAAGGGCCATTGGCGACCCCAACAGTGCCCCGAACCAAAGCGCGGGCGTCTGTCCTGGGAAAGCGGCCCGAGCCGGTGGCGCGCGCCTTCCGCGCGCATGCGCCCGGCTCCCCGCGCCCAGCACCGAGTCCAGCTCATCTAAAAACGGCGGTGGGCCACGACCCCTCTCCCAGACCAGAGGGCAGGGCTGACAGGTGACACACTCGTCATCTGAAACCCCTAAGTCGGCATTTTCGGGCAACAGCGACTCTGCTTGTGGATCCCAACCAAGAGGAAGGTCCTCCGGCCCCCAACACAGCGACAGGTACCAGGAGGAAACCAGCACGTTTCCCGTTTGCTTAAAATGGAGGGGCATGTGGCGAGAGCGCGGCTGGGGGGACCGAGGGGGCGCACCTTGTAGTCCTCCCTGGCGTGGGCGCCGCGCGACTCCTTCCGGGCCTCCGCCCCGTAAATGGTCTGCAGCGCGCACAGCATCAGGTTCTGCAGCTCCAGCGTCTCCACCAGGTCCGTGTTCCAGACCATTCCTGGGGACACACCAGACTCCCGTGAGAGGCAGGCAGGATCCGGTCAGACGGGGGTCCCCTCCGTCCCCGCTGAATGGGACACCCAGCGCCCCGGCTGAGGGCAGGGGCCCGGGCCCGCTCACCTCGGTCAAAGGTCTTCAGGTGCCTCAGGTCCCCGTAGAGCTGGCTGAGTTTCCCGCAGCCCTCCTGCAGCACGCTGCCCACCCGGAACACCGCCGCGTGCGCCTGCATGGACTGCAATGCGCACGCGCGTCAGCCGCCGCCCGCGGGAGGGGCCCCACCGACGGCTGCTAGACCTTCAGATCTTTCTCATGTGCATTTTACTTTTTGTAAAACGTTTACGTAAATTCAACAGAAAACCCAGAAAACTCAGGCTATTTATGACTCCAAATTTTAAAATGGAAGTTGCGTTTTTGTTTGTGAGATTCTACTCTCTCAGCAACTTTCGAACCCGCAATGCAGTATGTATGGACTATAGTTACCATACAGCCCGTTACACCCCCAGGACCCCCAGGACTTAGTTTTAACTGGAAACCTCTACCTTTTTGACTTCCCCACTCATTCCACCCACGTGCACCTCTGGCAGTCACCAATCTGTTCTCTGCACCTGTGAGCTCAGAGGTTGTGTGTGTTAAGATTCCATATGCGAGATCACGTGGTATTTACGTTTCTGTCTGACTTACCTCACTTAGCATAATACCTTCTAGCTTGATCCATGTTGTTGTACATGGCAGGACTTTTATTTTTTATAGCTGAACATTCCACTGTCACACAGGCCACTCTTTATCCATTTATCTGTTGATGTGTCCATGATTTGGCTATTTTAAATAAGGCTGCAATGAATATGTGATACACGTATCTCTTCGAGTCAGTATTTTCATTTGCTTTGGTTACCGCAAGTGGGATTGCTAGATCATGGAGTAGTTCCATTTTTAATTTTTTGAGGAATTTCCATACTATTTTCCACAGCGGCTGCACCAATTTACATTGCCACCAACAGTGCACAAGGGGTCCCTTTTCTCTACATCCTCTCCGGCACTTGTGACCTCATGTCTTTTTGATAACAGCCATCCCAACAGGTGTTAGCTGAGATCTCACTGTGGTTTTGATCTGCACTTCCCTGAGAGTGATGAACACCTTTTTACGTACCTGTTGACCATCTGTATTGTCTTCTTTGGGAAAATGTCTATTCAAATCTTCTGCCCATTTTTAAAGTGGGTTGTTTTTTTCTTTGCTATTGAGTCATATGAGTTCCTTATACATTTTGTACATTAGCCCCTTATCTGCTATATGATTTGCAAATCCTTTCTCCCATTCCATAGGCAGCCTTTTCATGCTGTTGGTGGTGCCCTTCGCCATGTGAGAGACTTTTATAGTTAGATATACCCCACTTGTTTATTTTTGCTTTTGGTGTCAGATCCCAAAAATCATCACCAAGATTGAAGTCAAGAAACTCACTGCCTACATTTTCTCCCGGGAGCTCTATGGTTTCAAGTCTTTAATTTATTCTGAGTTAGGGTTGTGGTCCAGTTTTGTTTTTTTTTTCTTTTTTCTTTTTGCTTGTAGCTGTCCAGATTTCCCAATACCATTTATTGAGGAGACTACCCTCTCCCCACTGTATTTTCTTCATCCCTTTGTCGTAAATTCACTGACCACACATTCAGGGGTTTCTGATCTGTCTATTCTGTCCCACTGTTCTATGTGTCTGTTTTTATGCCAGTATCATGCTATTCTGATTACTGCAGCTTTGTAATATAGTTTGAAATCCGGGCGTGTGATGACCTCCAACTTTGTTCTTCCTTCTCAGGCTTGCTTTCGTTATTTGGGGTCTTTTGTGGTTCCATACAAATTTTAGGATTATTTGTTGTAGTTATGTGAAGAGTGACCCTGGAATCTGTAGATTGCTTTGGGTAGTACGGACACTCTAACAATATTAATTCTTCCAATCCAGGGGCACGGCATATCTTTCCTTTATTTGTGTCTTCTTCAATTTCTTTCAGTGTGCAGGTTTTTCACCTCCTTGGTTACATTTATTCCTTTGTATTTTATTCTTTTTGATGCATGTGTCTATGGATTTTCTTAATTTCTTTCTGATAGCTTGTTATCAGCATATAGAAATGCAACAGACTTTTGTATGCTAGTTTTGTATCCTGCAACTTTACGGAGCTCATTTATTAGTCCTCGCAATTTTTTTGGTGGAATGTTTAGGGTTCTCTCTACACAGTATGATGTCATCTAAAAACAGTGATAGTCTTACTTCTTCCTTACCAGCCTGGATGCATTTTAGCTCTTTTTCTCACATCGCTGCCATGGCTACAACTTCTGACACTGTGTTGAATCAAAGTGGCAAGGGTGGGCGTCCCTGTCTTGTTCCACTTTGTTGAGTTTTTATCATAAGTGGATGTTAAAATGAAGTTTTGATTAAAGCTTTTGAGAAATGGTGGCAGAAAGGGCACAAGCACTCCATCTTCGAATTCCCCTGAGGAGACAGCAGCTGTGTGCAGGCTACAGGACACCTTCTTGTTCCACTCACAAGGTCTGATGGTAAACGTCACAGGAGCCAGTAGACGGCCCCTTGGTGCGGTTACGAGGCAGTTAGCAGTGGGGGCTGAGGTGGAAGGCGGTGAAGGAAGGGGCCTGGGAACCCTCATGGCTTGCTCTTCTGGTTAGTTTGCAGAAGCTCCTCACGTATTAAGTACCTTTACTTTTTCACTGTTTATGCTCGTAAAAAAATGTGATATGATTACCACAGCATTGTAGTATAGTTTGACATCAGGTAGTACGATACTTCCAACTTTGTTCTTTCTCAGACTGCCATGGCTATTCGTGATCTTTTATGGTTCCATATAAATTTTTGGATTATTTGTTCTAGAAAAATGCCATTGGTATTTTGATAAGGACTGCATTGAATCTGTGGATTGCTTTGGGTAGTATGGCCATTTTGATGATGTTGAGTCTTCCTACCTATGAGCACGGTGTGTACTTCAGTTTATTTGCATCTTCCTCCATTTCTTTTTTCAATGACTTGTAATTTTCTGAGAAGAGGTCTTTTACCTCCTTGATTAATTTTCTTGATTTTGATGCAACTGTAAATGGAATTGTTTTCCTAATTTCTGATAGTTCAACACTGGTGTATAAAAATGTGACCGACTTCTGAATATTAACTTTGTATCCTGTGACTTTACTGAATTCATTTATCAGTACTAACAGTTTTTAGGGTGCTCTATACATAGTTTCACGTCATCTGCCTTTCCAGTCTGGATGCCTTTTATTTCTCTTTCTTGTCTGACTGCCGTAGCCAGGATTTCCAATGCCATGTTGAATGGAAGCGGTGAAAGTGGGCATCTTTGTCTTGTTCCTGACCTTAAGGAAAATGCTTTTAGCCTTTCCCCATTGAGTATGACGTTAGCTGTAGGTCTGTCGCATATGGCCTCTGTTACGTTGAGGTATGTTTCCTTTATTCACCACTTTGCTGAGAGTTTTTAGCAAATGAATGCTGGGTTTTGTTGAATGCTTTTTCTGCATCTATTGATATGATAGGATTTTTATCTTTCAATTTGTTAATGTGGTATATCACATTGATTTGTGAATATTAAACCAACCTTGCATCCCAGAACTAAATCCAACTTGATCATGGTGTATAATATTTTTAGCGTATTGCTGAATTCTGTTTGCTAATATTCTGTTGAGGATTTCTGCATCGATGTTCATCAGGGATATTGGCCTATAGTTTTCTTCTTTTGTACTGTCGTCGTCCGGTTTTGGAATCACGGTAATGATGGCTTTGTAAAAAGAGTTAGGAAGCCTTCCCTCCTTTTGAATTTTTTGAAATAGTTTGAGAAGAATAGGTGCTAATTCTTCTTTGAATGTTTGGTAAAATTCACCTATGAAGCTATAGTATCAAAGCTATAGTAATCGAAACAGCATGGCACTGGCATAAAAACATACATAGATCAATGGAACAGAATCGAGAGCTCACAAGTAAATCCATATCTACATGGTCAGTTAATCCATGATAAAGGAGACAAGAATATACAATGGGGTAAAGAGAGCCTCCTCAATAAATGGTATTGGGAAAGCTGGACAGATACATGCAAAAAAATGAAACTAGACCACTTTCTTATACCATATAAAAAAATAAACTCACAGTGGATTAAAGACTTCAAACGTAAGACCCGAAACCATAAAACTTCTAGAAAAAGACATCTGCAGTAAACTCTCTGATATTGCTACCAGTATTTTTTTTTTCTGATATCTCTTCAGACAAGGGAAACAAAAGAAAAAGTGAACAAGTGGGACTACATCAAACTAACAAGTTTCTGCACCGCAGAGGAAGCCGTCACCCAAACGAAAAGACAACCCACTGAATGGGAGGAGATCTTTGCCTACGGTATATCTGACAAGGAGTTAATATCCAAAATTTGTAAAGAACTCATACAACTTAACCAAAATAAATAAATAAACAATCCAATTAAAAACTGAGAAGACCCAAATAGGTATTTCTCTAAGGAGGACACACAGATGGCCTACAGACATGAAAAGATGCTTATGGTCACTAATCAGAGAAATGCAAATTAAAACCACAGTGAGATATCACCTCACACCTGTCAGGTTGGCAGCATCAATAAATCAAAAAACAACAAACGCTGGCAAGGATGTGGCGAAAGGGAACCCTTGTACACTGTTGGTAGGACTGCAAATTGGTGCAGCCACTCTGGAAAATTTTGGAGGTGCCTCAAAAAATTAAAAACAGAATTACCTTTTGACTCGGCAATTGTACTTCTGGCTATTTATCCAAAGGAAACCAAAATACCAGTTCGTAAAGATCTCTGCACCCCTATGTTCACGGCAGCGCTATTCACAATAGCCAAGATGTGGAAGCGACCTAGGTGCCCATCAACAGATGACTGGCTAAAGACGTTATGGTTCATATACACAATGGAATATTACTCAGCCATAAAAATAATGAAATCTTGCCATTTGCAATGACAGGGTGGACCTAGAGGGAATTATGCTGAGTGAAATAAGTCAGACAAAGATAAATACTATGATTTCACGTATATGTGGCATCTAAGGAACACAAGAACCAAACTCAATGAACAGACAGACTCATAGATACAAAGAACAAACTGGTGACTGCTAGAGGGGAGGGGAGTTCGGGGGCTGGGTGAAAAAGGGGAAGGGATGAAGCACAAATTAGTAGCTACAACGCAGTCACGGGGATTTAGAGTACAGCACAGGGCATACAGTCACTATTACTGTAATGGTTGTGTGTGGTGCCGGATGTGTGCTAGAGTAACTGGGGGGATCACTTTGCAGATTCTATAAACAACTTTTTTAAATTAAAAAAATAATTAGGGTAAAAAAGACATGTGATATAAAACCAACCTGAAACTTATTTTAGGCATGCTGAGAAGCAGAACCTACCTCTGTTTCCTATCATTTACTGAATGACCTTGCCTTCCACCACTCCTGAAAAACCCCTTCATCATGTGCTGAATCAGCACGTACCGAGGGGCCTGTTTCTGGACTGACTTTGTTCTACTGACCCAGATGTCTCACAATTCATTCTACTTAGCAGACAGCTCACCCACCTCTTTAGAATGAGAAATCATGTAAGACTGTACTGCACACCACCACTGTCATGGTTTCTCCGGAAGAATAAATGGAAAAAAACCTGTCTTAGACCCTAGTAAACATCAGGTTAAAGACTCTTCATGTTCTCCAGTGGTCGTGTTTTTCATACTGTTTACATATTTCTGGTTATGCTGATTCAAGGCATTTTTAACCTTTTTTGGCTGCACTGCAAATGAGATATTAACTACTGAATGGATTATTGCTGGCATCTTGAAAGCTACTAATTTTTGCATATGAATCTTTTATCCAGACAGCTTTCTTCATCCTTGCATTGTTTTTATTCACTTTTCAGTTTATTTTCTTGGAATTTTTTGGTAATCGTATCTGCAAGTAACGACAATTATCTATTCCTTTTTAGTACACACATTTCTTTTTCATTTCTTACTGCATAAGGTGGAATCTACAGAAAAATTACTTCCCCACACTCAAATGTAAACTCCACATGGGCAGGAACTTTTACTCTATTCGGTGCCAGCGCCAGCATCTAGAGCACTGCCTGGCATGCGGCAGGTACCAATACCTGCCTTGTTTGGTGGCAATGCCTCCGTCTCTCATGGGCTCGTCACTCCCACATCCTGCCTAACACGGTGGTTCGTGTGGTGGTATCAGCGCCCTACACAAGTCCCGCAGAGTATCAGCCGACTGGTGCCCCTTGAGCACTCGGTACCTTCACTCGTGCTCCTGCCCTGACCCGTCCTGGAAGCCTCCCTGACACAGAACCACACGGCCCACAGCCCTGCAGAAAGGCAGCATCGGCATGCGGCTTTTCCCTACTAGTGGCGTCTGTGTGTATGTGTCACTGGATCCTTTTCAGATCCTTGCAAATAATTTCAGGTGGACAGAGATCTCATTCGTGGACTGAGAATCCCTGTATTAGAACTTGAACGATTCCTAGCTGTTCTAGGTACTATCATCAGTCTAAACCTGTGTTATCTAATGCAGCAGCTGCTAACCATGTGCGCACCCGTTTACATGAAAACTGAAATCCAGTTCTCTGATCAGACTGGCGACATTTCGTATGCTCCACAGTCACAGGTGCTCAAGGGCAGGGAGTGCTCCCGCCCTTAGGGAATGTTCCATCAGCCGCTGGTCGGAAGGCGAACGCTCTTAAGAGAAACGCGCAGACTGCCCACAACCCACTCCCCCCTCCTCCTGATTTTATTTACAGCTGTCAATGGGCCAATTTAAAGACACTTCCCAGAGCTGCTGGAAGCCAGATGTGCTGATGGGATTCATTTCTCAGCAATGAGATGTGCTGGGCTTCCAGGCAGCCTGCAGAAGGAAGTATTGGGGTGCGGGGTGCGGGGCGGGGAGGCGGTGACTGTCCCTCCTCCTTCGGGCTGTGACATACACACGAAGGCAGAGATGGTGTGAGGAAGGATGCCCTTGCGAGCGCCCTGGAGGCTGGGAAGGCAGTTCTGGGTGCTCCGTCCACGTCTATATGGAGACGTCCACCTTTCATGTGACTTGGCCCCTCTGTACTCTACTCGGCATGGCAGGGAACCCGTCCTTCTGATGCTTAACCCACAGCCCATGCAGGGCACGCATCCAGGTACTTACCTTCTGCATGCTGAGTCGCAGTTCCGATGTTCTTATGCTCCCGTCGGCAAATCTCAATTTGTCAAGATTCATGACAGATTCTTCCCCAGCATTTGCTTTAATCGAGGGAACTTTATCTCCTACGCAAACAAACAAACAAACAAACAAACACAGAAAGCTACAATTTAACTCCTGAAAAACACCTAGGGAAAGCAGATGGACTGAACGGTAGCAAGTGTGCATTATCGCCTTCCGGGGATTTGGGAGATGCGCCGTGCCCCCGCCCGACTACCCTGCACTCGAGGGACCATCTGCTGACTTGGGGCTGAAGAATTAACACAGAGACAAAACTTCTGGTAAAGAGCAGGTGTCCGATAAGTAATTTCTGAAGGAACAAAAGAGAAACCATTGCTTAAGCCTAAAAATTAGATTTATGAAAACCATGCGCTCTTACTCTATTGAGAGAAAAAATGGCGCCCTTCAGATCAGCGGTTCTCAGCAGTTTTGCCAACTCTCCCCACCTGGGGAAGGGGCCTGGCCAGGCATATTACGTCCCCGGCTGACCCTGACCCTTGTACCCTCAAGGTTTGCTGTCCTCACCTTTCTAAAAGATAAATGTTTGGAGGACTTTTAAGGCCTTTTTGGGGATGATGGTAAATGTATTTTCTTCAGCAGGTACTACATGCAGGAGGTATGAAACGCAGAAGATGAAGGTTTGCAGGTGAAGCAAGGCTATTTGCAGCCACTCTCTCCCCAAGGGACCGGGGCTGCTCCGATCCGCTCGAGCTCTTGACAAGCTGCTGCTTCATTTGCTTTTGTAAATGAAGTAAAACTGACTTGTTCTTTAGGTGCACAGCAACTACCATCATCAGAATACAGAAAGGGGGTTCAACATTTTTATGTTTAAAATACTCATGTTTTGAGGGAAGTAGTGGGGCAAACATTTTTTCCTTTCCTTTTTTTATTTTTAAAAATGAGAGTATAATTAAGGTACAATATGATTTTTAGTGCAGATTTTCAAGTCTGGACAAAGCTGCGTGAGCTGTACCGCAAGCAGGATGTGGTCCCCGGCAGCCACTGGTCCATCTGAGCCCCAAGTTTTGCCTTTTCCAGAATGTTGTACAAAGAGACTCATAAATGCAGCCTCTGGAGTCTGGACCGCACAGCCTGACACATTTGAGATTCATCCATGCTGTTGCATGTATGTAGAGATTGTTCCTTTTAATCGCTGAGTTGAAATAAATTTTTAAAGTGTGCATCGATCCTTCAGATATAAAAGTATATGCTACTCTTATGAAACTTCCTTTTTCTCATCTTCAAAGAATGGGAACCTCAGGTTCTCTGCTCTGCTTCGACAGAGTGGATATCGGGCTCACTGCCTAGGGGACACGTGCCCTAGATCTGGTGTCAGACGAGGTGAGTTCAGTTCCTGCCCTTGCAGCAATGCCTGGACACGAGGCCCCGCCTCTGCGTTTCAGCCCGGAGCTGTGGCCACAGCGAGGGGGACAATGCGTGCGAATGGGCAGCCTGACCCTCTGTGGAGCACATCTCCATTACCACCGGCATGAAGGGCGGTGCACCTGCCCTATGAGGACTGTGTGTAGTTAGTGGCTGGGCGGCAGTTTACAACGTCTCTCAGACCGACTTAAAATCTACACAAAAAGCTTTTGTTCGATAAAAACAGTGCAACTGACAGAGAACAGCCAACACCAGTGACATGCAGCGGGAAGAGTGGGGGCTCAGGGACCCGCTGCCCCTGCCTTGGGGACAGTGTCTCAGGTTCATGTTGTTGTTCTACCAACCAGGGCCAGGTCAGCGATGTGAGGCCCTTTGGCGGTCAGAGCAACAGTGAATGTCCTGCCTTCGGTGGGCTCGCACCCAGCACCGTTCCTCCTCTGCAAATACCTGAAGTCACTACAAAACAAAACACTACTTGGAACCCGTTGTCACTAAAGGCGCAGCCAGGACCTGGCCCCGCGCGCTGTCTGCAGTAAGCCGTCCCTGTCCCCTTTCCAGAGCAGTTACGCTGGTTTTTAGAATGGCCCAGATTAATTTTTCTGTAAGCGTCAAATAGTTATTCATGTATAACTACGATTTAAAATATTCCACTGCAAGTCAGTCATTTATATCAGGTACTACGTGATAAACTTTCCCTCAAAATAACAAGTTCCTAATGGTGACTTTAAGCAGAACATAATGACTGCAAAGGAAATTCTGACCAAAAAAGTTACTCTCTTTTAACTGTTTAGACCTCATCCAGCTTGTATCCAGCCTCAAGCCTGCCGCCACACAGACCTCTGAATATGTCCATCTCCTCCCCGCTGAGGAGACCCCGACTGTGCACCCCCCGCCTGCAGGCACCTGGCGCCGTGAGGAAAACACTCACCGGGTCTGCAGGACTCCGCGATGCTCAGGGCGCATGCCCGGCCAAAGACGACCAGGTCCAGCAGTGAGTTAGCCCCAAGGCGGTTGGCGCCGTGCACCGAGGCGCAGGCGGCCTCCCCACAGGCGTACAGGCCGGGCACGACCTGGTCCTGGCCGTGCACGTGCCTCAAAACCTGTGAGAAAGAGGCCGAGACGTAAGGGCGCAGTCTGAACCCCTGCAGCCCCACCAGGAGTGGCGGAGAAGACCGGGGCGGTCCACAGAGAACCCTCCAGCACCTGCGAGTTCAACCCCTTGGCTAGGTCCCGTCAGAAACACCGGCCCCCACCCTCGGATTCGGGACTCAGGGTGGATGGCCGTTACACTGGGAGGCAGAAGACTGGGTTGTAACTCGGACTCTTCCAACGCGTTCCTCCTCTATACTGTAAGAACCCAATTCCTCAGCCCCTCGCCTGAGGACTGAAACCAAGACCCCAGCTGGAAAGCCCCACGAGTGGCAAGCCACCCAGAGGTGGTCACTGCCAAGAACACACAGGTTACAAGATCACTGTGAAAATAAGATGAGCTTGTACAAAAAGCACTGTAAGTGATTAGGACTATTTACTCTGGAGGGATTAATAAGTCACTAGAATCGTCACTAAGGAGTGAAGGTGAAAGCTGCACTAGCCCCGGGCCCGCCTCTGCCGCTCAGGAGGGCAGCTGAGGGGACGGGCAGCCTACTGACCCATGCAGTACTTTTCCTCTAAGACCTAAAGGGACCACTGTGAGGTGGGCCACTGTCCCCACTCTCTTTCCCACTGTGTAGTCAGTCACCTGCCCCTTGTAGTTGGTGGGAATGCCACCCATGTTGTAATGCACGGTGGGAAGGACAGGGATCGGCTCTTTGGTGACATCCACACCCGCAAAGATCATGGCTGTCTCTGAAATGCCAGGCAGGCGGATGGCCAGCTGCTCCGGGGGCAGGTGGTGCAACTGCAGGTAGACATGATCTTTCTCAGGCCCACAGCCTCTGGTGAAAAAGGACATCGCAACATAAGGCAAAGAGCAGCAGTCACAGGAAGTACGAGATCACAGAGTCCTCATTTTTATACCCGAGCAAACCCGTTCGTCTCGTCCTCCCTAAGCACCCCTGCGTGCCGGGCTGGATTCTGGCCGCGAACACCACCGGCTGCCATCCTGGCCTCCCCGGATAGCTTGCTAGGCTTTGCCTGGCAAAGGCATTAGAAAGTCCCTTCCTGCCAAAAGCTCCGAAGAATTACTTGACTTCTCACTTTGTATTTAACAGCACAGAAGCTCTGTGGCTACACCGGCAGATGTTTCCTGTGTCACCACAGTAAGGCGCAGTGTTGGGCTCCGAAGAGGATGAAGCTGCCTTGTTAAAGGACAAACAGTCCACGCACCAAGCAGGTCCTAAGAAGTGCGGGCTGAAACTCCACCAAGGGCTCGCCTGCTGCCCTTGGGTCGCAGTGTGCCTGTCCTGCTCTCCAGTACTCGCTGACGTCTGTGTCACACACTCACGTTCAGAAAACCCACAGACGTCAAACGATCACGTTTGCAAGTATAGGTCTCTGGAGAGATGCACACTGACCGGCAGTGGTCAGAGATCCCAGAGGCGAACGCCCACCTGCCCACGGAGGCGGGGCAGGCACTGCCACTCACACAGCAGCCACACCTGCCCACGTGGAACAGACACCAACACCGCCCACCACGGAGAACGGAATGCGCGCCTGCGTGCGTGCACACGTGCTCGGATACCTCTGGAGACGCTCACAGACCTGCCCTCACGGATCTCCAGGGTCATGGACCGAGACACGACGTCTCTGGAGGCCAGGTCCTTGGCGACGGGGGCGTACCGCTCCATGAACCTCTCGCCTTGACTGTTAATGAGAATGCCGCCCTCTCCACGGCACCCCTCCGTGATGAGACAGCCAGCCCCGTATATCCCTGCAAGGACCCAGTGAACAAACGTTTACAACCCGACTGTCACAGCTGCGTCCTGACATCACTGTCACTGTGGCAGCCTGATGTTCTCTCTCCAAACTGAAGTGTGCCTGTGCCACTCTCTTGGTCCAAGGCGCTCGCCTGGTGAATGTGACTGAGGCCTTGCCATGTGCCGCACTGAGAACACAGACCTGCCCCCGCCTCCCAGAGCTGACAACCCAGTGGGGGACGGACGCTGAACCACCACGGCTCTGAGACTGGGCAACGTGTCATTAAGATGGAACCTCGACTGCCTTGGGGAGAGCAGGGGCAGTCTCCTGAGGAAATGACGACTTAGGACCCGGGAGACCAGAAAGCGGTACTTTCGAGCTGTCGCTGCAACAGAGCATCCCACAGGGACTGAGTGCCTAAAAGACACGAGGCCCCGATCCCGCGGAAGCAGCCCGCCTACCTGTGGGGTGGAACTGAACAAATTCCAAGTCCTGGCAGGGAAGCCCTGCCCTGGTGATCATGGCGGTGCCGTCGCCGGTGCTGGTGTGGGCCGACGTGCAGCTGAAGTAGGTGCGCCCGTAGCCTCTGAAAAGCAGGCCAGCACAGAGCGGTGACCACACAGCCGGTGCCATCGGGACCTCCCTTCTAGAGACACTGAGTGGATGCAGCAGCCACGCATCACCACCATGGGGGCCCTCCACACCCTCGACAACCGGGAGGTGGCCTGGGGACAGAGAAGGCCTCTCGCCTGATCTTTAGTACTTCAGTGCTGTCTGAGAAGCCTCTATCGCTTTTGTAACGAAATTTTTAAACGTTTCTGGATTCACCTCTTCGAAGGCTTGAGTAAGACTGGCTGTATAGAATGGAATTTACTTATTTTCATCACGTGAACCAACAGCACTCATCTAATACCCAGAAATCAGTATAAGCACAGTATCTAGTAAAACAAGAGAATATTCCAGAACGAGTCACGTGATTCTCCAGGATCAGTTTCCTCAAGGGTCCTCCCCACTGCGAACTGACGACAGACACTTCCTCGCCCACCTCAGAGGCAGATGCCCCCTTGAGAGAGGAGGGATCGAGGCTGGCAGAGGCGATCAACCTTGCAGGACAGGCCACGGCCTGTGTCTGTACCCCTGTTCCGGGGTGCCCCTACTTTTACTAGGATGAAAGGCCTCTGACGGGCAACTTTCTTACAGAGAAAGTGAGTACGACAAGAATTAGATTCCTACCCAGTGGCTACAACCGTGTTCTTTGCTCTTAGGCGATGGATGGACCCGTCTTCTATGCAAAGTGCGATGACGCCACGACACTCCCCGTTCTCCATCAAGAGGTCCAAGGCGAAGTACTCCACGAAATAGCTGGTGTCGTACCGCAAGGACTGCAAAGACAGCCGACATTTGCCACTGCAGTGAGGGTGTTACACCGACACGCAGGCGATGCTGTCCACGTGAACAGGCTGAAGACCGCGTGTAACCGAGGACCAGGTGAACCTGGGAGAGTCCCAGGCGGGAAACGAGTCGCAGACGGCAACTCACACCGAGTAGAGCTGGCGCTGCCGTGTGACAGCGCAAAAGGGGCCCTGCTCTTAGCTGTACGGACAAAACACGAAAAGGGGGATCACACGCCGGTGCACGCCAGAGAACGCGGCACCGTGCTGACATGGCCCTTGTTCTCACACCCTAAGAGGCGTTCCGGGCTCTCTGGGGCCACACGCAGCACAATCGCCTCAGAGTCTGATGACAGAGCTGGGGCCCTCGGACCCCTGGGCTGTCCTATATGGGAGCTACTGACCACACGTGGCCATTTAACCTAACGAAACACAACATTCAGAGCCCCTCAGCACACTAGCCACATCTGTCACGTGTGGCAAGCGCTGCTGGGCTGGATGGCCCAGGCCCTGGTCTGACAGTCACCTCGGCTAATGGAAAGGTCTCTCATGAAACTGCCAGCTCCCCACGCGACACACAATTCCATGAGATGGGCAGGTCCTTGTCACATATTCGCCCATACTTTTGGCCAGAGAAGCCACTGGTGTCCTAACACTTGCAAATCAATGACCTGTCCCATTCTTCAGAACACGGATTATCTGGCCATGCCAAAGTTGGCCCCAACTATCCAGTGACAACCAGCCCTCAAGTCTCAGTCTGGCTGTCACAGTTCAGGAGCTCGGAGGTGGCGAAAGAGCCTTAAACACCTGCTCTGCTCTTACGCCTTCAGTGTGGACAGACTGCATGTTCAACCTGGTATGTACTAGATTTTCTAGAACTGATACTTTCAAATGAACAACTGTACACAGGGCCTACCGAGTTATTCTGTTGCTTGTTAAGACGCCCCTTAGGCTGACAGGCTGGCACTCCAACCCCTTCCCAGGGTGCCCTGTCTCTGGCTCATCACTGTATGCTGGCCGGACCAGATGGGTCATGTCCCCGTGCCCCCAGGGCGGGCTCACCCTTCCATACAACGTGTGCAGCAGTGAGTGGCCGGTGCGGTCAGCCACGCAGCAGCACCGGTGGGCCTGCCCGCCTTTCCCAAACTTGAGGCTCTGTCCGCCGAAAGCGCGCTGGTAGATCTTGCCGTCCTCAGTTCTGCTGAACGGCATGCCGTAGTTCTCCAGCTGGGGAGCACAGAGACAACGCCTGGCACTGTGAAGGAACCGAGGGGCGCGCGGCTGGCCCACCCCGGACGCCTTCAGCCTGAGTCTGCAAACCCCGAGGGACACAGTCTAGGAGAACATCGAGACTGCAGAGAAGGGAAACAGTCCCCTGCAGAGCGACCCCAACGGCCGGTAACAGCAGGGCGTCCCTCGTCATACCAGCTCGTCGCCGCCCCTTCCAGCTGACCACACAGGCCTCAGTCCCGCAAGAAACAGGCTGTGAGGACGTTACCTCGACCACAGAGGCAGGGGCCTGCTCTGTCATGTAGTGGATGGCATCCTGGTCCCCCAGCCAGTCAGAGCCCTTCACGGTGTCATAGAAGTGCCACCTCCAGTTGTCCTCCTCCATGTTCCCCAGAGCAGCATTGATTCCTCCCTGGATACATGGAGCCAACTCAGGAGTGACAAATGGAAGCCCCCACGGTCCCCGCCCCGGGAACTGCCTTCGGAGGGAGCCAAGGACTTTCATGATAACTCTCGGTGAGGGATCTGACTGCGGGCCCTTAGAAGGAGACAGCCCACTCTGACAGACTCCAAATCACACCTCCTCCCCTTACCAAGCTGGTAACATGGGCCCCAGCCCCGTTATCCATGAACGCGACAGGAAGCTCAAGTCCTTGAAGAGCTGATGGAGGACTGAGAGGTGCAACGCTTACGACTTACCTAACCTGGCACATAAAAGGTTCCCACAAATTTGTGGGGATAATTTTATGACAAAACGTTCCCAGTGGTTATTTGTGGGGACGGGTCAAAGTTCTTACTGACAAGTGATAAACTCTCAGCCCAGAGTCACACACCCACACCCCTGCCTCCTTCGGCCGTGCACTGTGACACTCCCCTACTTTTGTCCTGTTCTATCCCACTGCCTCCGCCCCTCAGGGACACAGGAAACGCAGCACAGGGACAAACATATGGTGGCCAGTTTCCGCCCCAACTTAAATTAGATTCTTCCTCTTAGATAAGCTCTTTCGCACGGCACCCTTTCTGACCCCCTTCCCTTTTTCCCAATCGTTACTACTCCGGCACAACTTCCGAGTCAAGCTGACCCCCTGGAATTCCTTCCCCACCTAGTGCTGCTGCCTCTGTCCCCCAAGTCATGCTCCGGTTAGGATAAGATGACCCACTGTGTGAGGAACCTGTCGCTCCCTCCCTTCTCCAACCGTCCAAGTGCAACGCGAACGCAGCCCCAATGACACGTGGTGAGCACCAGCGCAGCAGGACACACGCGTGAAGCTTGACCCGCTACGTGCACAAATGCTGTCCCTCCACCGCTACCATTGAGAACCAGGGCCACAAACGTCCAGTCTCCTTGGCGTCCCCAGAAGGACCTTCAGATGCTCCCAGGCCCCCACCCATTTGATCCTTCCAGTGAAACCTCTTTTCTCAAGAACCGACATTCAGGTTAAGCCATCTTTCCCTTATTCTTTTGATTTTATTAATACTGCACTATCTGAACACTGTATTATTTTGCAATGTTACTTAAAATTACCTGTTTGTGTTTCTCCTTTAAGACAACGACGTCTCTACAAATAGATTTTATCTATTCAGTTTACAAAGCAGCTTTAGAGCAAAGCATCTGGATGGCTAAGTGCCTCAAGAATGCTGCTGGACACTGAATTCAGGCTCTCCCAGATTGGAGTGGCTTTATGGTCCTGGAAAGTCACCATGCACTGTTGTCTCTATGAGGAAATGTGTTCTAGGTGCCAAAAAAGACAGGCAAATACAGCTCTGGAATACTGCCTGCGTGCCAGCTGGCACACCTACAGTATGCCCAGAGTGGAAGAACAAACTGTGAAAGCACGGAATCGCCCCGCACCTTACTCTGTCCCTCTCCCTACATTCAGGGGCACTGGTTTTCTGTCCTGCACATCCATGCCATCATCAGAACTCCTCACCACCCCACTCAATGAGGCTCGTCCTGAGGATGTGGCAGCAACCACGAGACTCAGGGCAGACGAGAACAGTCCACAGCAAGCTCACTGCAGATGGTGAGTGCCATGGAGACAATGGGACCACGGCGGGGGTCAGGGGGGGTGGTCAGAGAGGACCCTGGTGGGACTGGGGGCAGCGGGGATGAGGCCCCTAAGGGGAGTGAGCCCAGGGGGTGCAAAGAGCAGGGTGGCAGGAGGTCGCTCAGGCAGAGGCCGGCTGCACTGCACCCAGCAGGCACCAGAGGCACTAAGAACCCCGCTTGTACCTGGGCTGCCACGGTGTGGGACCTGGTGGGGAAGAGCTTCGTGACACAGGCCGTGTTGAACCCTGCCTCCGAAAGGCCAAATGCAGCTCGCAAGCCTGCACCTCCGGCGCCCACCACCACGGCATCAAATTCATGATCCACTACTGGGTACTGTGTGGAAATCTGGAAAAGAAAAGCCACCCGTCAATCACCCATTCGGCTATGCCAGACACTGAGACTGTGGTCACTGTGAGAGAGCGTAAAGAAAATGAAACAAACCAAAGAGTGATCCACGCCCAGCAGGCGGCCCCCTGGGCAGGACGGAGCAGCCACAACTCTGCAGCCCCCAGTGATGGGGGGGCACGTCCCCGCGCCGAGAGGGCGACGAGACATGGGGACGGCCAGAGCCGGCTTTCTCGTGCAGCTAGGAAACATCATTAGACGAGATGCGGAAAACTCAAGAGCTGCTCCCGAAAGTAACTGGGGACGCAGAGGGAAGCAAGGCCGCGAACGCAGCGCGGTCCTCGGGCGGCTCCTCCAGTCAGCGCGTTTCTCCTCTGCTTTCGTCTGCACGCGCTCAGCGGCTCACGCGGAGCCGAGCTTCGAATGCAGTGCAGGTCACACTCCCCTCCTGTGACCTACCAGCACCACGAAAATGGTAAAATGCCATTTTCATTTAGATAAGCACATCCCAGCTCATCTAGGTGACCACCTAGCATGTGAGCACACAACTCTATTTCAGGCCCATGTTTGTGTTTTCGAGTGAGAAGGTGCCAACTGGTGTTCAGTAACTATTGTAAAATTACAAGAAAAGAGCTTGTAAGAAAACTTCAGTTTCTTCAACAGAGTAGAACGAGCCCACTGAACAACAAAGAGCCTACGCTGTCCTATGTGGAGTGGGGAAGTCATTTTCCATCACAGTAAATACTGTGTATTTGTCATTCATATTTTATTATTTTGTTGCTTTATTTGATTTAAATTTTAATCTGGCTTATAGATATATAACAAGCAAAAAAGTTAATATCTATGCTTACGTTTATACTATAATTAAGTATTACCACACTAAAAAAATAATCTGAGCAGGCACTGAAATGGGAATTCTTTCCTTCAAGTAAGACCTGTGTACTATATGAGCATGTTAGAAACTGGTACACATCGTTATCCCTCTAAGCCAAGAAAACCCTTTATAATGGAACAAAAAGCCACGAACTTACCGAATCTGAAACTTTAGCAGACGACCTCTTATTCCCGTCAACAGTGAAGTGAAAGTCACGACTTCCTGTCTGCAGGGCTGCTGGACGCTGCTGAGACAGAGAAAAGTGTCTTGAAGGGACAGGGAACTTGTAACCAAAAATTCTCCTTCTGTGCTGTTAACCTTTTCATGTACCCAGGTGCTCTCCTTCGCTGAGAACCTTCCCCTGGGAGCCTCGACTTAACCTGAAGGGCAGGCCGAGGGGACTTGGCACTTCAGGAGGAGCCCTTCCAGGTGAAGCTTGTCTCCAAACAGGATACTCACCGACTCAGACAGGAAATGAAAAAGGCAGATTCTCATACTAATTTCCCAACTTATGTTACTTAGTGGATAACGAGAAAGACATCTACCTTGCGTGTGTAAATGGCTGTTTTGCAAGCAATGAAATATTTTTACTGGACCCATCATAACCCTTTCACACTGGGGCTCTGCCCGTGTGTGAGGCATTATGGTTCACTGGGAAAGGCAAGAAACCTCGAGCCGGGAGATCCATGCTCTAGGACAGGCTCCACTGTTCGTGGTGACACTTAGGCACCAGTGCCACCATCCCTTCAATGAACACCAGAGGGTGCCAGGCCCAGAGATGCTGACGGTCCTGCTTCAGCACCCTCCACATGTGCACTGGGCCTCAGCCCAGCCTCTCCTCTGTCCAGGCCACAGCGCCATCCCCGCTGCCTGGACACTCGGCCCTGGCAAACCTCTATAACTTTCCAACTCTCAGCTTAAATGTCCCATAAAACAATGTCTTAGAAATATCATAAAGAAGCGGTCCCGAACCTTTGTGGCACCAGGGACCGGTGCTCCTATGAGAACCTAATGCCTGATGATCTGAGGTGGAGCTGAGGCGGTGATGCTAGCGCTGGGGAGCGGCTGCAAATACAGAAGAAGCCTCTCTAGCTGGCTCGCCCGCCGCTCACCCCTTGCTGTGTGGCCTGGTTCCTGACAGGTCACAGACTGGGGAGAGGGTGTTGAGGACCCCTGTCATAAAGCACAGTTTTAGGAAGTAAGTACATTCAACAATGACAAAAGGAAATATGGCTGATGTCTTCAAGAATTCTGCAATATATAAGATATTTATTCTGTGGGTTAAAAAAATTATTCTGTAGGACAAACAAGTGGGACTCCAGGGAAGAGAATTTAGTGAAATACAAAACGAACTCTAACGGGGCGCTGTGAACTGAATGGGCTTCCCCGTGAGGTGAACAGGCCCAGGCCGGGACTGGGTGGCTGGACTCTGAGACCGAAAGGGCTGCCACAAATACCTCAGCTGACTTTACTAGCTCCAAGTACAAAGCAGTTTCTTGAATTTTTAAATAGATCTGAACTGATAAAAGCAATACTCTTAAATTCTCCAATTCCATTTTTAAGGATATTTATTTTTACTGATGTAAGCCAATTTGGTTTTTTCTTTCATAAAATGAATTTAAAGAAACTACAAAGAACAAATATTCCTACGCTTCAGTATAATTTTTTAAATTGTAAAGTCATATTTTAACGAACTAAGTAACTGAATTTTAATACAAATGTTATCGAAAATTTTACAAAATGCAAGATAAATATAGGTATAATAGCACCAATAAGAACAGTACACTCTGTATGACCAAATTAAAATTAAAATAGAACAGTGAGAGCCCCTGCGTATTTACTTGTTTCCAGGATGTTCAGGTTGAAAACAGGCGAGCGTACACTCGCACTGGGCTAGCTGCAAGGGGGCAGCTACCATGACGACGTCTTTAACGAACCATCACACTGTCTCCCCTATAACCTACCAACACCAACCTTGACGAGACAGGCAAGAATTTGGAGAGTCCAGTTTTAACCCAATTTCTGTCTTTAGAGAAAACCAATTTTTTGTCACTTATTAATCTACTGTTTCTTGAAGAGAAACCAGAGCAACGTGAAGAATGGGAGAGTCTATCTAAGGTACAACTAAAAGGAAGACTCAGACCTTTTGATAGCACGAAAGTACAGGTGACTGAATTAGGAAGTAAAAGGGAGAACAAAGGGAGGAGAAGGACAGGGTTACTGACATCCTCAACCTGGCAGGTGGGGCGTCCTCGTCTAACTTAATTCGCCTGTTAATCGGGAACTAGAAACTATTAATTTGCAAGCACAATCTACGCAATCGCAACAGGAGGATCTGAAAGCGGCTGCATAACTATGTTGGGAGGACGGAGGATGTGGGAAGTAGGGCGGTTTAAGTGAACTAAGTCCCCACTTACCAGCAAAAGTCGATGTCTAAAATGGATAAAAATGCTCCTGCACACCAGCACCAAGGCCAAACCAGAAACACTTCAGAGCTGATTCCACTGGGTAACAGGTCTGGGGCAGGAGGGGGTCTTATTCCTTTTCATTTACAAGGTCTTCTGTACTCATTGACTTTTTTCCCTTTTTACAACCATGTGTAATTATTTTCATTAAAAATTTAAAGGCTTTTAAAACTGGGATGCTTAAAATGCAGCTCACAAGGTCACGGAGCACGGGCTGCGGGCCGGGGGCCCCACACAGAGCTTTCGCTCGTTCCACCACAGAAGCCTCCTCCACCGCACACAGAAACCACATCTGCAGGGTACGTGGGGTCCGGACTCGGCTCTGCCTGGCTGGCTCCGCACCCTGTCCTTTCCCCACTACCTCAGGATCCTTGGGGGAAAAAAACCTCTGGGACTCGGAACAAAGATGACTGTCCAGGTTATCTATCAAGTGAACCAGGAAAATCATTATACACACTACAAAACTCTACGCGACTGGCATTATAATTATCCCAAGAAGCAAAACAAAAGGTTAATACAATGGCCTAAATAATGTAATTCTAGATACACCATTAAAACATATTCAGAACAATACACACAAAGAAATTAACTTACTCTAGAACAATACCTTGTATAGTCATGTTAAAGGATTTGAAAAATCTCATCTGAAGTGAGCAGTTAACCGACAACTATTTAAGGTCCTCAGTTTTACTTTTCCTTTCCAAGAAACTACTTTGGAACAGTTTGCAAATATTTTCAGTGCACTGAGGCAATTGCAAAGGAAGCAAAAGGCAAAATAGGTTGGATAATTTTGTAACTTGAAAGACTTAGAAACACTATAGAATTGAACAAAACGAAATAAAGAAAAAATTCTCTGTGGCCTTTATTCAAATTATCTTTATCATCTACTCTCCCTGGTCATTTCTCTCAGTTGACATCAAAAATCTATTTTTTTGTTCTGCTAATCTGATGCTTTTGTTTTTGCCAGTCTGAAACTCCAATAAATATACTGCTTGGAGCAAAATTAATTTCCATAGGAAAATCTATCTTCATCAAGATAAAAAGATTTTTTTAAAACCCAAGACCATCTTTTGTAGGCCTAACTTGTTCAATGTTGCTCTCTATCTTGCCAGCATGTTTACAAGCACCTAAACACAGGATAGCGGTGAAGATTCAGATATGATAAAGATAAAGCACTGGCAGCTAATGTCTCAGTCACCCAAGATCACTTAGAATCAAGCCAGTAAGAAAGGTTTACACTGTGACTCGCTGTGCTCAGAACATATTCTCACTTTTAGCTAAAAGCTCAGAGCCAGAATTCTTCTACTCCAGCCTGCATAAAGGACGATGTTTTCATAAATTGACAAAGTGTGGGTGGTGGGTGAAGGGAATTCCCAGGCTAGAAGGTCTTAGTTTGCACAAGGAACGCTGGGCACCTGTCTGGTTTGAGGGCAGATACATTAGCCCTTCTCCAATCGCCACCAATTAGCAATCTGTCATCTCACCAAATGAGTAGGAAGCACTTAGTTCCCTGATATTTGGTTCATTAAAAATACCCCACGAACCTGCACTTTACTTCCTGCCCTACCACAGTGTCTTGGAGCCCAAGATAGCGGGGAGGGGGTTGGATCAGTCAGTGGATAAGCACCTTAGCAGGAGTCCCCAACCCCTGGGCCTCAGACTGCTAGCGGGCTAGCGAGCCAAGCTTCATCTGTATTTGCAGCCAGTCCCCAAGGCTAACATCACCACTTAAGCTCAGATTATCAGGCATTAGATTCTCATAGGAGCACCTGTCCCTGTTGCCTAAAAGGTTGGGAACAACAGCATTAAAGTATTTGAAATGCCTCCTGGTGTCAGCTGGACGAGATGGTTGACCAAACCATCTTGCACTTCATAGTTTTTAATACTCACACTTGAAAAATGAAAAAACTGCAGGCATAATTACAGATGTTAAGTCATTCCTGTCAGTACTGTCCAATGCCTTGGTTCCTACCGGAACTTTTACTTTTTAATTAAATTACTAAGTAGGCATGTGGGTAAGATCATTTAAAAGAACCGAATATCTAAATCCTCTAAATTTGGGGTGTAAAGAAAACCATACAAGATCAATTCTGAAGTATCTCTAAAGAGTACAGTTGACAAATTCAGTGCCAGGGCTTAGGAAAGCATAACCCCGCCTGTCATCCACGACTAAACAGAGTCCGGCACATCTCCCACCCGCCTTGGTCTCTACAGATAACGCAGGAAAACAACCGTCCCCGCGCCCACGCTCAAGTGTGCTTTCGCAGTGTGCAGAAATTCTGTCTGGTTTTTAAAAGTGTGCACAAAGGCCACCATACGAAACCAAAAATTAAGGGCCTAAACTTCCTTGACAGGTCTCGGTGCGGACCCACAATCTACGCCTTCTTGAAAGGGGGCTCGGTTTTGCAAACACATGCAAGGCAAGCGTAAGCGCGGGTGTTAAACCTCACCCCGCCTTGAGCCGCAAGGACGGAGCCGGGTCGGGATCCGCGGGCTCCAACCCCTCCCTGCCACCCGCCACCGGGGGCCTCGGCCGTCGCATCGCCCCACCGCGGGGCTGCGGAGATCAGAGCAGACAGCCTCGCAGACAGCTGGCAGAGTTCACAACCGGCCGGCGCCTGCGGCCGCGGTCCCGCCTCCGTCTGAGGTCTACGCGCCGATTGGGATTTCGAGTTCCGGAACACCCATAGGCGGCCACCCGTCTGCGTGACCTTGGGCAGACCCGCTTCCTCCCCGCGTTCACGCGCCGGGGCGGAGACCGGGCGACCTTGACCCGAAGAGGGATGCCCGGGAGGCCCGCGGGGTCGTGACCTTCACCGTTTTACGGCCGGGCCGGCTTCAGCCCCTCAGACGGCGCCCGACCCCTCCCGCGTCCCCGCGGCTCGCCCGCGCTCCAGCCCGCAGGCCCGCACCCACCCGTCCAGATTGGGCGCGGGACCGGGCGTCCGCTCCGCCACGGCCTGCGGGGACCATCTGCTCCCACCCTGCCCCC